CTGATACTTCAAGCTTCCATAACTAAAATGAGTTACATGGGACAATTAAGTTACTGAGAACAATTCTTCCAAGCAAGTATCTTGGCAAAGTTCCATCTCTACTTGAGGCATCATAGTATTGTACATAGAGCATTGGTCTTAGAAATAGGAAAACTTGGGTTTGAATTGTACTTCATACCCTATGTTGCCTCACCACTATGTGCCTCAGTTTCCTCATCTGTAAAATGAGGAGGTAGGACTCAATGATATCTTTCCAGTTGCCTCCAGCTTTCAGTCTAGAATCCTACTCCTCTCTCAAAGTTATTGTGACTAGGCAGCTAGGTGGCGAAGTGGATAGAGCACAGAAATTGGACTCTGGAAGACCAGAGTTTAAATCCTACCTCAGATACTTTCTAGCTGCATGACCCTGGGCAAGTCACTAAAACTCTTTCAGCCTCAGTTTCCTCATCTGTAAAATCAGGATAATAACAGTATCTACCTGACAGGGCTGTTGAAAGAATCAAATAAGTTAACGTGTATAAAAACTCCTTATGCCTTAAAGGGCTGTATAAATGTTAACTATTAGAATCACTTTTAAAATATAAAATGCTATAAGAACATAAACATTCCATTAACCTAGGACCCTGACCCTCTCTGTAGGGAGAGCAGCCATGAGCCAAATCTTAGGTGCAGGGGCCAGCACTCTGGTGGATGAATTAATTCTCCTAACAGTAAGTCCTACAGATGAAATCTTTCCTCATTTAAACTTTCTCCAGTAATAAAGCTTGCCGAATGCCCATGATAGAAATTGACAGAGTCGTTGAAATTTACAAAGTATTTCCCTCTCCATATTGGAAAAGCAAATGAGACAAGTATCACTGGTTCCATTTTACATAGTATACAGAGAAGTATAATGACTTGTTCGAACTTTAGAGCTAGGATTTCAACCCAGGGCTCCTGGCTCCCAGCCTAGTATTCTTTGCACTCCAGCAGAAAAATCCAACATGGTGGCCTTGGGCCTATAAATCTAAACTGATTAAAATGTGACTGGGAAATAGTTAACAAAATATAAGTATAATAGGACATAGATAATGTTAATATGTGGTTTTCTAAGTCAACATCCAGCCTGCACCAATTCTTACATATTGACCAAATGGCCCCAATCTCTCCTTGAATTTGACCCAATATTCTAAACGATGGTGCCATTGGCTGTCATTAAATTAGGACCATTCAAAGGCATCGACTTTCAATATTTGGGTGTATAAGGTGATGTCTATGACAAATTTGTAGATTCTTCAAAATCCTTTCCGGCCCATTGAGTCACACAACTCCTATTCCAAAATTATAATTTTATAATTTTATGTGTTTCTGCTTTTTTGTATTGCATCCATTATCATGACATATTTAACATGAAATCTTCCAAATTAGCTGAAGGTAGTAGGTGGAAGAGCAGTAGAAAGGCCATTGGTTTTGGAGTCTGAGGTCTCAGGTTCAAATCCTGTCTCTGTTATTTACAACCTGTGTGACCTTGGGCATGTCATTTTCCCCTCAGTCTCCTCATTTGTAAAAGGAAAGGATGGGACAAGATGCCATGTGATACAAGGGAAGGTGAATTGGCTTTGGAATTAGAGGGCCTGGATTCAGAGCTTACTCCTGATACCATCTATGAGAGTGATGGGCCTCAGTTTTCTAGTCTGCAAAATGGGGGGATTAGCCCAACTGCAATTTAGGAAGGGAAAGAACACTCACTGGCTTTGGAGTCAGAAGGCTAGCATTCAAATCCTACCACTTATGTTCACTGCCTATGTGACCTTGGGCAAGTCACTTAGTGACTAAGACTCCCTCAGTCTGTTTCCTCATATGTAAAACAAGAAGGTTAGATTAAATCAGAGGCTCTTAACAAGAATAACTAGCATTTATATAGTGTCACTCACTGTGCTAAGCACTTTATAAATATTTCCTAATTTGATCCTCACAACAACCCTGAGACACAGGTGTTATTATCCCCATTTTACCGATAAGGTAAATGAAGCAAAGAGAGATTAAGTGACTTTTCCAAGGTCACACAGCTAGAATGTGTTTGAGGGTAGATTTAAACTCAGGTCTTCCTGACTCCAGGCCCAGATCTCTGTGCACTATGGCACCCCTTAGCTATCTTAATTTTTTTTTTTTTGAGTAAAAGACCCCTTTGGCAGTCTGGTGAATCATGTTTTTAATGTATAAAGTAAAATACTTTGGATTATAAATCATATATTCTCAGAATCACTTTTTTAATGTATAAAGTAATGCTTAAGATTACAAAAAAGATAAAAAATTCTATTGAAAAACAGTTATTAAAAAAAACTTTTTTAAAGCAAAGTTTACAGATCCCAAGTTAAGAACCACTGAACCAGATGCAATGTGGTATAGGACAAAGAATCCTGGATTTGGAGTCAGAGATTTGGGTTCAAATCTCACCTTTAACATTACTAGCTATGGAACTTTAGGCAAGTCACTCAACTTCCCCAACTCAGTTTCCCCATCTGCAAAAAGCAGGGGAGGTGAAGGGGAGGCACTCAATGACTACCAAGTTTTTCTCCAAATTTAGTAATGATATAAATAGAGTCTTCGTGTTTCTTTGTAGCTGGGAGACAAACACTCTATCATCTCCTCTGCTGTGTCCTCAGCCCATCCCTAAAGGGGTCTTCAGCTTGCAGCATCTTTGACTAAGAAGCAAACAGCAGCATTTCATGCTGTTCACAATCAGATTCTCCAAGCCCAAGTTTCTCCGCCAGGAAAAACTGGAGACTCAGCAATTTTTCTGAAGACTCCTGTGATTAAATTCTGAGGTTTGTCCCCTGGGGCAGCTGAACGCTTGCTTACTGCTCCTGGGATACTCCGAGTAATTACAGTGTCAGCCAATGAGAGATGTTGGCAAAGACTGCAGCAAAGGGAGAGGGCTTTTTTCCCCTGAGCCAGCTGTGGTTTCCCAACCAGCTTATTATTTCTTCTGTAAGATAATAATAATAATAACTAACATTTATATAGCAGGTACTATGTGCCAGGCACTGTGCCAAGTGCTTTACAATTATAATCTCATTAGATCCTCACAGTAAGCCTGGGAGGTAGGTGCTATTATTATCCCCATTTTGCAGATGAGGAAACGGAGGCAGACAAAGTTACATGACTTGCCCTTACAGCTATTAATTGTCTGAGTCCAGATTTTGAACTCAGGTCTTCCTGACTCAAATCATTAGGAGTTCAAATCCAGCCTCAGACACTCACTAGCTGTGTGACCTTGGGCAAGTCACTTAACTTTGTTTGCCCCAGTTCCTCATCTGTAAAATGAACTGTAGTAGGGAATGGCCAGTATCTCTGCCAAGAAAACCCCCAGTGGGGTCAAGAAGAGTCAGACATAGGGACAGCTAGGTAGTGCAGTGGATAGAGCACCGGCCCTGAAGTCAGGAGGACCTGAGTTCAAATCTGGCCTCAGACCAAACACTTGACACTTACTAGCTGTGTGACCCTGGGCAAGTCACTTAACCCCAATTGCCTAAAATAAAAAAAGAAAGTCAGACATGACTGAAATTGACTGAAAGACAACAGCTACTTCCTGAGTCAAAGCCTGTGCTCTGTCCGTTGTACCATCTAGCTGCTACTGCCCAGAGGAAACGCTTCCCTGTTTCCACTCTACTCCTACAAGTCAGAGGATCCAGGCTCAGGGCCAAGGGGAATGTAAATACTCGTTCTGGGAAATGGAGATCCATAGTCAACAGCATGATTGAAAGAGCTGGACTAAATCAGAGGTTCTCAACAAGAATAACTAGCATTTATATAGTGACTACTGTATTCCTCTTGAGTTGAGAAGACTCCAGGAGCCTTCACAAGGATTTCAGGCTAAAGGGCCCCTTAGAAGTCACCTAGTCCACTCTCATCATTTTGTGGACTAAGAATTGGAGGCCTGCAGAGAGGAAGTGAGAATCCCAAGGTCATAGATTTAGAGTTGGATGGGACCTCAGAGGCCATATAATCCAACTCTCTCAATTTACAGATGAGGAAACTGAGGCTCAGGGAAATTAAGTGTCTTGCACTGGGAAGTAAGCACCAAAGGAGGAAGTTGATCCCGGCTCTTCTGGCTCCTGAGCCAAGGCTCTCTCTACCGTATCATGCTGACTCCAGTAAGTGATTGAGTCAGGAATTGAACCCAGGTTCACCAATTCCAAATCTAGGGCTGCTTCCACTACATCCCCCTGCCCAAGCCCTTCATTTGACAGGGAAGGAAATTGGGGCCTGGAGCAGTTAAGTGTGGCCGAGGTCTCACAGGGAGTAAGTTACAGGATTCTAGCCCAGGTGCTCTGATGATGCTCTTTCCTACTGTGTGCCAGGCGCTGTGTTAGTTACTGGGGCTGCGAAGGCAAAAATCAAACAGTCTTTGATCTCGAAAACTCCACTGACTTCTGAGGGATACTGCTTTTTATTTTTCAGGAAGACTTAATCCCTCCTTTCCCTTGCTAACAGGTCTAAGGCAGCTTGTGATGGCATGCTTTTCCAGCCTCTCTTCTTCATCCATCTCTCTTGCTTCTTATCCCCCTTGTTGAGATGTGATAATGGTAGAAACTACAGTCAGTTGTAGACACATGAGAGTTGATTGGGAAGATTCAGTTAAGGAAATGGGAGATTGTGCAAAGTGGGTTTAAAAGTAGGCAGAGCTGAAACTAGGAATTTTTTTGTGCCTAGGGTAACCACCACAAAATGTGCCCTTTAAGGGGAAGGAATGGGGAGTTGGAATGAGAGGAATTTTGCCCTGTATTGATCTTGTTTTTAACTAATTTTAACTAATTATTCTTGCTAACTAGGTGTTAATCATTTCAAATTTTTCACCCTGGGACAAATTACCCATGGCCCTGCCCTAGTTATAGTTCTGGAAACAGGTCTTCCCCCAAATCATCCTCAGTTCCTTTCTTCCCTTGCCTCCCCTACTCCCCCATACCCCCATCCCTACCAACAGGGGTCCTTATTAGCTGTTAAGAAAAAGACTGCACCTTCTCATCCAGTTCTGTTAATAGGGATTTCATTGCCTTAATTAAAGCATCATATTCATCTTTGGTTTGTAGCAAAAGTTTGAGTTCGGTATAATTTTTATCATCCATCTCCAAGTTCTTGGGTGATCTCATAAGACTCAAAAGCAGCGTGATCTCATCTTGTTCCTCTTGTAAAATACTTATCTCTTTACTGTTAAAAAAAAAAACCCAACATGATGTGATCAATTTTGGGTATGTTGACTGTTTCTTTATCATAAATCTTAGAGGCAATGTTGCATAATGGTTAGAGAGATGGCCTCAGAACTAAGAAGGCATGGGTTCCCACGTTGCGTCTGACACCACATGGATTGTTTGAGAGGGACCTCATCTCTCACTGCTCTAGGTAACACTCAGGGAAGGGGCTGACCTGCATTGGTGAAGGGAGATTCATTAGCCAGGAATTGCAAATACCAGTGAAATCATAGGTTCATGGCTATTCCTAATCCATAGGCTCTTAAAGTCAGAAAGGACTTTATTTACCTTTTTTGTTTAATATTTTATTTTCCTCCCAATTACATGTAAAAACAATTTTAACATTCTTTGTTTTTTCCAATTTTGAGTACCAAATTCTCTCCCTCCTTCCCCTCCCTCCCCTCTCATTGAGAAGGCAAGCAATTTGACATAGGTCATGCATGTGTAGTCATGCAAAACACATTTCCTGTAAGTCACACTGTGAAAGAAA